CACTGTATCTATATTTATATTTGAGAGTTTTATATTATTATTAGACATGATTATATCAATTGTCAGATGTATAATATCTGTGAAATCTGAAGAAGTGTAATTGTATTTTTATATATCTGAGTGTCAGAACTCTCAGATCTTTCACTGATATTCTCTTATAAAATCTTATTCTCTTCATAAAATCTTGTTATAAGATCAGAGTGACTGATGAGTATGCTTCTATCTGAGAACTCAGTGTCTGCTTAACTGTTTGACTGTTTCTTACATATTATTATATGTTCAGATATCTTTTGATGAATAATTGTTTCTGATGAGAAGATGATGTGTGAATAATTGTTTTCTAATAAGAAGATAATGAATGTTTTTATAATGTAAGAGATCTACACTGAATAGATCAGTATAATATTGATAGGTCTTATATAACAAAGATAAAAACATTAGAGAAGAAAAGAAAGAGAAAGTGTGAGAATCAGTAATCAAGGTGAATATTTATACATGTGTGTGATGATGTATGTGGTGGAGCTTCAGGGCAGAAGAATATACACGCGTTCGTAGCAGCTGAGGATCAGTGATCAGGAATGGCCGAGAATCAGAGTGTACACTACGCGCGTTCATAGCGGCCGCGGATCAGCAATTGAGAATGGCCGAGAATCAGAGCGTACGCTACGCGCGTTCATAGCGGCCGCGGATCAGCGATCGGGAATGAAAGAACCTATGGAGTGTAATGGAATAGTCTATATGATTGATCGGGCGCAGCCCGCCACAATGAAGATAGAGAGATTAAGATTAGAAATTCTCTGAGATATAAAAGAAACACATTATCTGAATTTCACAGCTTTATTCATACTTTTAAATGAAAATTCTGCCTTAATCTGAGCCAGTATAATACTTATAAGATATAAATAATATACACTGTCAATCTTCTTGAAGGTATATCTGCAACTACTTAAGTTATTAAGAAAAGAAAGCTTAAGTGTACTAATACTACAATGACTTGAGAAGAATTCAAGAACTTTCTACTGAATTAAATTAAAGATCACTGCAACTGCAGCTTCATAATAATACAGTGATTCAACTTATTATATTAATAAGATAATGAGAATTCTTCTAATTTCAATATAAGATTTAAAGAATATTGAGAGAAATTAACTGATAATTTAAATTAATTAAAAACACAGCTTTATCTTGTAAAGCTGACTTATAAGATATGAATAATAATATCACAGTATCAGAGTTTATTAATCAATTATACTGAGCTTATTAACTTAACTTTCTGAATCTATTTGAATAATTAATACTCTGAGAAAAAGACTAATAAGATCTCTTCTAAGTAATTAATAACAGAATCTAAACAGCACTGTGATGACTTCAGTGTGAAGAAAGTAAAGAAGAATTTCAAGTATTCTGATTCTTCACTCACTGTGAAGAAATATTAAAAAAGATTTGATAAGAATCTCTATTTTAACTGCAGAGCTGATAATTACTATACTAGTAATTATAAGAAGCTGAATAAGAGAAGAAACTGAGAAGATATCTTCTTAAAGTTAACTTCTCTTCTGATAAATGTATCTGTGAAAGATAAAGAAGAGAAAGAAATGAAGAATTGATAATTCTTATATCTTTAAGTTCATATTATGATTGCAATAAATACTCTGAATAAGAAGATATCAGTGAGATGTCTACTTAACTCTGAGATGAATATTAACTTCATATTCTATTTCTTTTCTTTAATAAAGAGTTGAAAGAAGATAGGCCTGTCAGATCATATGCAATTTACTGATGAAATGAAGTGTCACTGTTTTGACATAATTCAAGTGAAGTATGTAATCACAGACTTAGAAGAAATCTTCAAAAAGAGCAGTCTGCTTCTTTATACAGTTAATATCATAGATGAGAATATTATTCTAGATCTTCTGTAATTCAGAGAAAACAATTCTCTCATTAACTGAGTCACTTAGATGTGACAGTACTATCTTATTAATAAAGAGACAGTGATAGATAAATCTGAAGAGTTTCATCAGAAGAATCTTGAGAAAAAGATAGAGTTGATATACTGTGTAGTAGATAACTGAGACTTGAGAATAAATGAAGAAGTTATCACTCTTACTACAAGATTAGCAGCAGTATCTGTTATTAAATATGAATGAATATGATATCTCTTTACAGATTATAAGAATATCTTTTCAGAAAAAGAAGTAGTGAAGTTTCCTGATATCATGATATAATATAAGATTTATCTTAAAGACAGTGTAACAGTATTATACAGGTCTCTTTATAACTTATCTGTAAAGAAATTGAATGTTCTGTATAAATATCTTGAGAAAGTGCAATCAAAGAACTGAATATACTTATCAAAGAGTTCAGCAGAAGCATCTATACTCTTTGTACTCAAGAAGAACAGTAGATTATATCTATGTATAGACTACAGAGATCTTAATAAGATAATGATTAAGAATCACTATTCATTACTGTTAATTAATAAGATAATTGATTGATTATCTGAAGCAAAGATGTTTTCAAAGATTGATATATAAGATGTCTATCATAGAATCAGAGTTAATGAAGATGATGTTTGAAAAATGACTTTTCATATCAAGTACAGCAATTTTAAATATCTTGTTTTATCTTTTAATCTTTGTAACACTTCAGCTATCTTTCAGATCTATATAAATGAGATACTGTAAGGCCTTATTAACATCTTCTACATAGTATACTTGAATGACATTCTAATCTTCTTAAAAACAGAGAAAGAATATGATACTCATATTCAAGAAGTGTTGAGTTACTTGAGACAGTATTAACTCTATATAAACACTGAAAAATGCTTATTCTACATGCAGGAGATTAATTTCTTAGATTATATTATTGAGATAAACAGTATTTCAATGAACAGAAGCTGAGTCTTTATCATTGAGAACTGACTGACACTGCAGATGTACTGTAAGATGCAGATGTTTCTGAGATTTATAAACTTCTACAGTTAATTCATCTATATATATTCACAGATTACTGTCTCTTATTATTATAATTATTCTTCAATTATAGATGTATACAGTCAGAGACTATGACATCTATCTGAGAATCTTTAGTTCTCAGGGTTTTTTCTATATCTATAGAGTCAACTATTATATACTTATCAATTTCAGATATGCAAAATCAGAAAATTCCAGCTCAGAATATAAAAACTGTTTATAAATTATAGTATTTCAACATCTTTTAATACTTTGAAATCATTTGAAAATATCATGACAAAGGAAAAGAGAATATAGTCTTAAAGATAGACACATTAAATAGATAGATAGAAAAGAACAGAAAGAAATAAGTATAGTAAAGAGAGTTACAGAATAAGATCTCTACAGTTTACATCTTAAGCTATATACATATTTTAACACTCTATATAACTGACTGCTATCTCTGTTCTCTCAAGCTCACTTCAGAAATTATCATTTTCTTTAAAGAGTCACTACTCAGCTATCTTCTGTAACTAGCTTATTCATAAGTGAGATTCTTATTAAGAATAATATCAGAGTTACTTAATTCTAGTTAAGTCTCTAATCTTCTGACTGTCAATCTTAGCATTTCAGCCTATTAATTAACTGTCACAGTCTTGATTATATTAATTATCTATTAAGAATATCTAGATCTTATCTCATCTAGATTCTTACTAGACTCAGAGTATTTTAATTAAATAGTTTTTAAATCTTATTTTCTGAAAGTGAGTGTCTAGAGTGAGAAAAATGAAGTCTAATCAGTTAAGCTTGATAATAATTCACTATTCTATAGACACTTTAGATCTCAATCACTCTAGTACTGATCTAACTTAAAGTACTCAGAAGACTGTTAATTCTAAGATCAGTGAGAATTAGTATCTGAGAATCTCTGAAATGAATATTTTAAGCTTGATAATGATTTACTATAGTGTATTCAGAGGTCTCTGATACTGTTTTATAACTTAACAGTGAAAGCTGTGATTAAGATGACTCTCACAGAGTTCAAACCTGCCCTCTCTTAACATTCATTCCCCGGGGGAGAAGGCCGTTAATTGAGACTTCATAGTAGCGTAGTTAATCACTACGTCACTGAGTCAGATTACTGTCTCTCTTACAGATATGTTAAAGAAAAGTGTGAAAGATAGAAAAATAAGACTGTTTACTCTTACTCAAGACACTGTACAGATGTTTGTAGAATTGAAACAGACTTTTACAGATATTACAATACTGAATCACTTTAATCTCAACTTACTCAGTCAGTGTGAGACTGATACATTTAGAAATAAAATCTATGAAATCTTTTTATAGTTGATACTGAAGATCTTTCAATATTGAAAGAATCAGAGAATAATCATCTCTGAGAATACAGATAATGAAATGTCTGTAAGAGAAGGCTTTTTTATAGAGTCTATAAAATACTATGAATAAAGATCAGTGATCTTCTTCTTCAAGAAGTTATCACTTATACAGAGAAGATATAATATTTATAATTAAAAGATATTAGTAATTATTGAATTCTTTAAGATCTGATAATATTATCTTCAGAGTAGTAAGTACTCAGTGCAAGTTCTTACTAATTATACAAATCTATATTACTTCTTGATAACAAAGAGCTTGATAGAATATTAAGTCAAGTGAGTGAAGCTACTTTTAGAGTATAATTTCTATATCTGATACTATTCAGATTAACTTAACTCTGCTGATAACACTGTCTAGACAGTCTGATTATAATATCATTAATACAGAGAAGAATTCTATAAAAGAATCTCTGTCATCACTACAGAAGAAGCTAGCTGCAGAGAATTGAGATTCTCTGAAGCTAGCTGCAGAGAATTGAGATTCTCTGAAGCTTGAAAACAGCACTGATAAGACAGCTGTGTGACTCAGTATAGAAGATGAAAGAAAACTCAGATCTTTACAGAGAACTGACACTGAAGATTATAAGCTTCTTATATTATATCTTACTATCATTGAATTGATAAAGAATGAAACAGTCTACAACCTTTTAATCTAACTACTTTTGAAATTTATTGATAAGTTACAGAAGAGAGATATTTCTACTGCGAGACAGTTCAACCGCTTCACCACGAACTCGCTCGATTTTTCGAATAAGAACCCGCCGATAGATCCATCGAAAAGCCCTCGATCATACGAGCATTCTGACCCCATCACCGACCGCATACCCTGTGTGGTGGTGGAGTTATCCAGCCAAACGTGAACCGGACGTTGTTCGAAACTCCTGTGTGGGATTATCCCCCGTTCTCCCCTACCACACCACAACCCCGGGCCAGAGTGCCATACAAATTGTAAGGTGAAGTGACCTAGCCATATGCACCAATCTTCTCGATTTTGGAAGATCCCCGACCTGTAGTTGTGGAGATATCCGAGGAGCGACCTCCGCGAAAACCCTGTCCATCTTTGATGTTCCAAAACACCAACGCCAAGTCTCGCCCTCGTACCGCCCTTCCCAATCTGGCCCATCCCCGGCAGAAAAATACAAAAAGATACCTCAGCGATAATATCAAGCACATAATCAACAGACTCTTCTGAAGTGCAACCTCCATGGTCTGTCACCAGTGTATCTAGACTTCAACACCAAGTCTCACCCTTGTACTACCCCTCTCAATCTGGCCTATCTCTGATAGAATGATACAAAAAGATACCTCAGCAACAGCATTCAATACATAATCAGTGAATAACAAGTCAACAGCACATCAACAACTATAAAATCAGTATATCTCAAGGTCTGACTGAGTCTTTGATCCCTGCACAGTGAGATATATTAAATCTAGTTTTAATATCTCAATATTCAATAGATTCTGCAAGAGATTGAGAACAGCAATACTAGGTTTCTATTGAATTTAAGAATTAACTCTATATTGATATAATCATTGATAAAGTCTTCTATTTTGAGATATAAATAACTAGTTCCTCTACATCTCACTGACAATATTTATATTATTATATAGAAATAGACTTATATTCTCTATAATATCAAGACTCTGAAGAGGAAAAGTCTTGATAGAGAGTATACAGTAGTATATATCTTAGCAGTTTCTATCTCATTCTTCTGCAGCAGTTAATGCAAAAAAAAAGATCTTAGAAACAGTTTTTTACTTCTCTTGAAAAAGTAAGATATTTTTCTCTGAATTTTACACAATATTCTTACAAAGAATTAAAAACAGAGTTGTTTTCTGTCATAATTTCATATTCTTTTAAATAAGAATTACTTTTTCAGTGACTGAAGAGCTTTCATTAATACTTAATTTCTTTTTACACTCTTTATTAACTGATTTGAGTTGCACACTTATTGTGTGAGAAGAATTGAATGATTTAGAATAAAATTGAATAGTTTTAATCAATTTCTCTGTAAAAAATTGATTTATTTTTTGTCAGTTTTTCTCTCAAAAACTGTCATATTATCTGATTTATTATCAATTGATATCATACTTTTTCTCACTGTATCTCAAGAAAGAGATTGTAAAGATTTTATTGATTTATCTCAAAAATTAATTTTAGTTTATTAGATTCTCTTCAAAAATCTAACCTAGTTACTGAACTAGTGTGAAAAAAAATCAGATGTTTTATATACAAAAGTCTTTTATTCTTCTTTTGAAACAGTCTGATCAACTTTTCAATTGAAAACAGACTTAGAAATATCTCAATTGAAACAGTCTGATTGTGGCGGGCTGCGCCCGATCAATTATATAGACTATTCCATTACACTCCACAGATTTCACGTACGCTCAGATCCTCGGCCATTCTCGATTGCAGATTCTCGGCCATTCTCGATTGCCGATCCTCGGCCATTCTCGATTGCAGATCCTCGGCCATTCTCGATTGCCGACCCTCGGCCATTCTCGATTGCCGATCCTCGGCCGTCACCCCGATCAATCATATAGACTATTCCGTTACACTCCACAGATTCTACGTACGCTCCGATCCTCGGCCATTCTCGATCGCCGATCCTCGGCCGCTACGAACGTGTGTATATTCTTCCGCCCCGAAGCTCCACCGCGTACGCCACCACATATGTGTATAAATATCCACCTCGATCGCTGATTCTCGCACTTTCTCTTTCCTTCCTTCTCTAGCGTTTTTATCTTTGTTATATAAGACCTATCTATTATACCGATCTATTCGGCGTAGGCCTCTTACACTGATCAACTTTTCATTGAGTGAAAACAATGAGTTCAAAAGTACACTCAGTTGATATGAAAAAAGATGCTTTCTCAAATGCTATTTCTGAGATTGAAATTCTGAAGAGAAGAAAGAAAGAAGAAATAGAGAAATAACAAGTTCTTGAAATACAGAAACTTGAAAAAGCAAGCAAGATTCTTGAAAAGCAGTGTCTGAGTGAGATAAATGAAGAAGTTCTGTTAATTCTTCATACTCAGACTAGACAACTACAGAAGATGATCAAGTTTAAACTTGAAATCTCAAACACAGTTTAAAAAACATTAAAAATTTCTAGTATAATCACTGACTCTTTATCTTGCTCTTCTTTCTTCTTTTTTTCTACTTCTTCTTCTTCTTTGAATCAGAAGAAAATATATGCTCAAGCAGCTGAATCTGCTGTCTCTAAACCTGCTGTCTCAAAACCTGCTCAAAATCCTGAGAAAACTGAGAAGAATACTGCTTATGCCTCTATTCATAGAAAAATGAAAAAGAAAATGTAAAAAGAGAAAAACTTTCAAATCTTCAGAAATAGAAGACTTATTCTCAAAGTCTCAAATCAGAACATTCTGCAAAGAAACAAGTTAAACTCAAATTTCATTTTCAGAATCAGAAATCAAATTAATCAGCAGTTCTTTTCTCAGTTAATGACTGATATTGAAGTTCAAAAATCAGTTATAGCTTCAATTGAGTCATTATTCTTTAGAAACTTCATCATTCTGACTACAATGCCTGAATTCAGTGCTGAATTTCTTATTCAGAATGAGAATCTCTGTACTGTGAACAACCGCTCCACCACGAACTCGCTCGAATTTTCGAATAAGAACCCGCCGATAGATCCATCGAAAAGCCCTCGATCATACGAGCATTTTGACCCCATCGCCGACCGCATACCCTGTGTGGTGGTGGAGTTATCCAGCCAAACGTGAACCAGATGTCGTTCGGAACTCCTGCGTGGGATTATCCCCCATTCTCCCCTACCACACCACAACCCCGGGCCAAATCGCCATACAAATTGTAAGGTGAAGAGACCTAGCCGTATGCACCAATCTTCTCGATTTTGGAAGATCCCCGATCTGTAGTTGTGGAGATATCTGAGGAGTGACCTTCGCGAAAACCCTGTCCATCTTTGATGTTCCAAAACATCAACGCCAAGTCCCACCCTCGTACCGCCCTTCCCAATCTGGCCCATCCCCGGCAGAAAAATACAAAAAGATACCTCAGTGATAATATCAAGCACATAATCAACAGACAATGAGTCAACAGCACATCAACAACTATAAAATCAGTATATCTCAAGGTCTGACTGAGCCTTTGATCCCTGCACAGTGAGATATATTAAATCTAGTTTTAATATCTCAATATTCAATAGATTCTGCAAGGAATTGAGAACAGTAATACTAGGTTTCTATTGAATTTGAGAATTAACTCTATATTGATATAATCATTGATAAAGTCTTCTATTTTGAGATATAAATAACCAGTTCCTCTACATCCTGCTGACAATATTTACATTATTATATAGAAACAGACTTATATTCTCTATAATATCAAGACTCTGAAGAGAGAAAGTCTTGATAGAGAGTATATAGTAGTGTATATCTTAGCAGTTTCTATCTCATTCTTCTGCAGCAGTTAATGCAAAAAAAAAAAAATCTTAGAAATAGTTTTTTACTTCTCTTGAAAAAGTAAGGTGTTTTTCTCTGGGTTTTACACAATATTCTTACAAAGAATTAAAAACAGAGTTATTTTCTGTCATAATTTCATATTCTTTTAAGTAAGAATTACTTTTTCAGTGACTGAAGAGCTTTCATTAATACTTAATTCTTTTTTACACTCTTTATTAACTGATTTGAGTTGCACACTTGTTGTGTGAGAAGAATTGAATAATTTAGAATAAAATTGAATAGTTTTAATCAATTTCTCTGCAAAAAATTGATTTATTTTTTATCAGTTTTTCTCTTAAAAACTGTCATATCATCTGATTTACTATCAATTGATATCATACTTTTTCTCACTGTATCTCAAGAAAGAGATTGTAAAGATTTTATTAATTTATCTTAAAAATCAATTTTGGTTTATTAGATTCTCTTCAAAAATCTAATCTAGTTACTGAACTAGTGTGAAAAAAATCAGATGCTTTATACACAAAAGTCTGCTATTCTTCTTTTGAAATAGTCTGATCAACTTTTCAATTGAAAACAGACTTAGAAACCTCTTAATTGAAACAGTCTGATCAACTTTTCAATTCAAAAGAGTTTAATAAATATCTCAATTGAATTAGTCTGATCAACTTTTCATTGAGTAAGAACAATGAGTTCAAAAGTACACTCAGTTGATGTGAAAAAAGATGCTTTCTCAAATGCTATTTCTGAGATTGAAATTCTGAAGAGAACAAAGAAAGAAGAAATAGAGAAATAATAAGTTCTTGAAATACAGAAACTTGAAAAAGCAAGTAAAATTCTTGAAAAGCAGTGTCTGAGTGAGATGAATGAAGAAGTTCTGTTAATTCTTCATGCTCAGACTAGACAACTACAGAAAATGATCAAGTTCAAACTTAGAATTTCAAACACAGTTCAAAAAACTTTGAAAATTTCTAATATAATCACTGACTCTTCAGTTTGCTCTTCTTTCTTTTCTACTTCTTCTTCTTCTTCTTCTTTAAATCAGAAGAAAACATATGCTTAAGCAGCTGAATCTGCTATTTCTAAATCTGCTGTCTCTAAATCTGCTATCTCAAAATCTGCTCAAAATTCTGAGAAAACTGAGAAGAATACTGCTCATACTTCTAGTGATAGAAGAGTGGAGAAAAAAATGCAAAAAGAGAAAAATCTTCAAATCTTCAGAGATAGAAGACTTATTCTCAAAGTCTCAAATCAGAACATATTACAGAGAAATAAGCTAAACTCAAACCTCATTTTCAGAATTAGAAATGAAATCAATCAGCAGTTCTTTTCTCAGTTAATGACTGATATTGAAGTTCAAAAACCAGTTATAGCTTCAATTGAGTTATTCTTAGACTGACCGTGTGACCGTGTCTGGGACCAGGACCAGATTTTTTGATAGTCCCATTACCAATTCGACTGATCCCATTACACGGTTTTAACATTAGATAGTAGTCTCATACTGTCTCAGTGGGACTTACTGTCTACTCTTGTCACATTTTTCAAATGAGACCATGATTTCCACTTCTCAATTTAAATTATTTTTATTGCTTTAAATGACTTTAAATCTCATTTGAGTGTTATCAAAAAGCGTTACTTTTTAAAAAATTAAAAATTGTCTAAAAAAAACCTTAAAATGTCTAAAAATAGTAACTTTATGCCAAGAATGGGACTAAATGGGACCAAATGGAACCACTTTCTCATTTTTTTCAAGTCATGGTTCCATTTTAAGATCTGATATATAGTCACTTTACCTGTTTTTTTGATAGCCAGTCCCAGCGGATTCACGCCAAGAAATGTATGGGACCAGATCAAATGAGATCAAACGTGAAATTCATGGTCCCGGCGGCCAGTCTAGTTATTCTTCTTTGAAAACTTCATTATTCTGACTACAATGCCTGAATTCAGTGCTGAATTTCTTATTCAGAATGAGAATCTCTGAAAATCAGTAGTAGAATCTTTGTTAAACATAACAATTCTATCTAAGAGAGATGAAAAGTGAGATAAATTTATTCTTCATAATATTTCAGTTGAAATTTTTGACTGTGAAGAAGGAATGCTACTTCTCAAAAATGAATTAGAAGAATATAACTCTATTCAACTGAGAAAGAAGTCTGTATAGCTAAATTCAATTGAGTTCAGACAAAGCAGAAGAAATGTCTCTGTTCTAGTATATACAAAGACAATGAAACAGTTGAAGATCTCTGAAGTAAGAGTAGCCAGTTTGAAAATGAGAGTTCATGAATACAAAGACTCAAGAATTAATCTCAAAGCTCAAACACAGTGTTCAAACTGTCAAAGATATGAACACTTTGCAATCTTCTATTTCAGAGACTCAAAATGTGCATTCTGTACCAGAGATTACAAAACTAGTGAGCATAAATATGAAACATGCTCAAAAAGAGATGAAATATGTCAACACACTCTGCTTAAATGCTCTGATTGCAAAGAAAAACATGCATCTAGCTCAAAAGAATGTATATTTACTTCAAGAACTCAAAAGAACTGAAGAAAAGATAAAGCTCAGAGTAAATCTAGAACTGAAGAGAATAGTTAAGTCAGTAAACTCACAACTGTAAGCTTAAAAAGAAGAAACTCTCAATTATCTAAGTCTTCAAACTTCAATTCTTCAGTGAAATGTAAACAGAATTTGAATCCTTAAACTTCTGTTAAGATTAGAGAATTGAGAAATGACTCTGATGATAAACTAGATATAATGCAAGTAGTTGAGATTTCTACTTTTCAGAACAGTTATAATCTACTATCTGATAATAGTGATTAGATTCTACTCTACTCTCTTTTAGTATGAATATACAACAAAAACAACAAAAAAAGTTTAAAAACTCTTCAAAAATCACATTTATTCAAAATAATGTGAATAGAAACTCAAATTGTATTTATTCTTATCTTCAAATTGCATTTGAATAAAAAGTTGATTTTATACTACTTCAGAAGCTGAATTTTAATGCTGAGTAAAAATATGTCATTTCTCACTCAAGCTACTACTTCTTTTTACCTCAAAAGTCTGAGATAAAGTCAAGAGTAGTGATCTATGAAAGAAAGAGATCAAGATATCAATTTAATCTAAGATTTAATATCATGTCTGACCCTGATATTCTGGTGAGTAATATTATAGATAAAGAAAATAAGTTTGATACTATACAGCTCATAAATATCTATAATGAAAAGTCATTGAAGGAATATAACAATATCTGAACAATTGATAGAGGATTTCTGAACATAACTTCATTAAGAAACTCTATAATTGCAGAAGACTTCAATGCATATCATCTCTGATGAAATTCAGAATGCAAGAGAGCAGTGAGAGCTGATAATCTGATTAAATGAATCTTTGAGCATTTAATAGATTTGGTTAATAAGTCTGATCAACAAACATTCTTTAGAAAAGACATGAAACAGAAGTCTATTATAGATCTAATCTTCATGTCACAAAATCTAATGAAAAGAAGACTTGTAAACTGGTTTATTAATTCAAATAAGACATCAGAATCAGATCATGAGATTATTCAATTTGATATTGAACTGAGTGAAAAATAAATGAGTGAAAATCCTCTTCTCTCTAATCAGTATAACTTTGAAAAAGCTGATTGAAAAGCAGTTGAAGAAAGCATAAAACTGTTAAAATCTGAGAGACAGAATGAGCTATATTGAAATTCTGATCAAGGTATCTCAAATGAAATGCTTAAAAATAGAGTGAAGCTTATTACATCTATTATTCTAACAAGTGTTAGAGATAATATTTCAAAGAGAAAATCTTCTAAGTATTCAAAACCTTGATGAAATGAGAATATCTCATCTAAAAGAAAAGAATTAGCTACTGCTAGAAGAGATTGAAAGAATAATGTAATATCTGATAAAGAGTTCAAAGCTGTCAGAAATGAATATTTTTCAGATATTAAAAGAGCTAAAACAGACTGCTAGAATAAATTTCTTGAAGAAGCACAAGAGAAGAAAGTTTTTAAAGCTTTTAACTATACTAAAATAAGAAGTGTAGCAAAACTTCCAGCCTTGAAATATGAGTTTCAGAATGAATCATATACAGCAAACTCTTTTGAGAAAAAATGTCAAGCTTTCATGAGAATTCTCTTTCAGAACTCATCAGATTCAGATTCAGATTCAGATTCAGATTCAGAGAAAGAGAATATATCACTTCTCAACTACATTGATGAAAATGACTGAGAATGGCCTGATCTTACACAAGATGAATTAGAGTCAGCTATCTTCTCAAGTTCTGTTAAAACTGCTGCAGATTCTGATTCAATTAATCACTTAATTATTCAGAATACATATTCCTACTTAAAGAATGAATATTTTGAGCTCTTTTTCAATCTCTTGAAAAATGGA